ATTTATGTGCTGAAAAATAGTGCTAAAAGAGCCACTTAGTTCTTCAGAAACACAAGAACATGGAAGAATATGAAATGTGTATGAGAAAACCAAGCCCTCGTGTAGTCAATAATTGTATCCCTTAAAACTCATTTTGATCACCAAAATGGCATATTTAAATGTTTTTTTTCCATTGAATTTTTTTTCATTCATGCCTTAAAAATAGCTTGAATGTAACTAAGCCCCACCTCCACTCACTTACCGGCTCGTCTACAAGTCGATGTATCAGAATGCTAAGGAGTTTTATCGCTCTCTACAACTTTGGACACATAACGGTAATTAATATGATTAGCCTTTTGCTTGACTACATTATCAAACAGCTAATAATGTGTTGCTAATATTACATGAACCACAGTGGCGGTTCTAGCCCATTTCAACTGGGGGGGCCAAGCTGGGGCCAGTTGTACTGTTAGAGGGGCCAGTTACATTTAGACCTTATTGTTGTCATATCATTTTCTGCACTGCTGCAGGCATTAACAGGCAAAATACCGTGTTTATAATCATTCAACAATGTATTTGTATTTCCATTATATTTTTTACATTTGCATTACATATTCAGTATTAGTCACAGTAACTGTAATAGACATGATGTCCTTCTTTCTCTTAATTTTGAGAACTATAGAGCAAAAGCAATGGGGACCAAGAAGCTTATTAATTAATTTACTGAAAATAACTGACTTGATATGTCTAACCGTTTACAGGGTTCCTGCACACTTTTTAAAGTCAAATTTAAGGCTTTTTAAGACCTAAAGAAATCAAAATTAATACCGTACATTAGGGGTGTGCAATATTGACAAAAATATATTTCAATATTTTCAACATTTTGTTAATAATTAGATAATATTTTACTGATTGTGTTTTTGTGCTGGTGCCATGGCTGGTTTAGGCCTGTTGTTGACAGCTGACTCATGAAGATATTCATATTTTTCATATTCTATGCAGTGGTCAGTTCACAGCAGTGACAGAAATACATTTTTTAATTAAGGGGCAATATTTGCCACCTTAAATTGATTTCCAGGGGCATTTTCACCTATATATGGACATTTTTTCTAAACTTATTTAGAGTTATGCATCACCTTTTATGTCAAATACTAACAAATTATACATTAATTATACTTATTTATACAATAATACTTAATTATGCAATAATTATACAGTACCACTGTTACCAGTCAAATTAATTAATTCAATCAAAATCCATCTTTGCAGTGCAGAGGTGACACAGAAGTGGCATTAATATATTTACACTCCATTTACAATTGCATAAATAATTTTTTTTAATTTAAATCAATATTTAAATATGAAATTATTTCTAATTTTAACGTTTTAATTAAAGGATACTTTAAATATGAAACTAAAACCGCCAGTAGGCGGCGGCAAGTCCCTGTAAGAGGGATTCATTCATTCAACCGATTTGTTCAAACGGCTGATTTATTCGGGAAAGAAGCAAGTGATTCGTTCAAAACGCGGATTTCAGTCAAGAAATCATCGCTGTGTTGCATTGAGACTCTGCTACGGTTTCATTATGAAATTCTAGTCGGCGAAATAAAGGGAAAACAAACATTATTGACAATATTGTGTCTAAAAAGTAACTCCCAATGTTAACTTATTGTTAATTTAACTGTTGTATTATAAATGTCACAGTTGCAATTGTGCACGGGAAAACGGCACTCTTGCTGATGTGATATTCTAATATAAGAACATAATATGATATAAATATAAGACAAAAACGAATTTGGGGACATAGCCTATATGAACTGCACACAGCAGTGAAAGGACGATAGACAAATGCGATGTCACCTCACAGTGCCTCGTACATAGTTAAAACAATGATTACAATATCATAATAGACAATACACATCGGACACCCGATACGCACATAAAGAATGAACTTACAACTGAACTGACATTTACCAACTTTCTTCTTCTCTCCTCTCTCGCGTGCAGGAGACAGGCGTTATTCTGCCGCGATTCCCGCGAATGTGATGCGAATTGTCACGTGAAAATGCAAATCCACAAAGATAGAAAAATAAAAAATAATACGCATACAACGATAGCAAAAAACAGTTTTGTAAAAATTATTTCAAACTCCACATTTAGGGGGGCCACAAGGGGGGCCAAGCTTTTTGTCACAGGGGCACGGGCCCCCCTGGCCCCCCCTCTAGAACCGCCACTGATGAACCATATGTTCCCATTCGCCATCTCAGAGTCTGACAGCCGCCTTTTAAAAATCAGCATCCTTAGAAACGCTTTGAATGCCAGTGGAGAAAGGCATGTAGTTCATCATAACAGTAATGTCCATCAATACACAATTCACTTATTGCTAAATGTACCCAATTTTTCATATCAACAGACAAATATACCAGGATAACCTGGCTTCTCTCGAGACTCTCCTGCTTTATTTAATTATCTGCTAATTGTTTGCATTGTGTGTCTCATAGGCTAATAGGCCTATTTATTATAGATTCATCAAGTCTATGACAAAAGCTTGTGTGTTTAACATTTAGATAGGCTAGGTTAACTGACGTTTAGGTCCCTCCTGAAAATCATGGCATAATTTTGCACATTGTATATTAGATTATTTTAACAATTCTATGCGAATGTGTTCCCTGATGTCCCAGTTAGTCTAATTAGATTTCACACAGCTGGCATGAGACGCTGGGGGTTTCGTGAGAGATGATTTTAGGGAACTTATGAAGCCTTTAAGTGATTAATAATCAACTGGCATGAGCATGCAGGAATCCGTGCGGACTGCTTCCCCCGTGTTAATAATAACACGCACAGTGAACATACACACGCACATACGGCAGATACCTTCCCAGACAGCATCATTAATGATGCTCCTCATAGTGCGAGGCTCGTGCACACTCGTCACAGATGCGTTCGTGTGACAGGATAGGCTACTTTCCGATTGATGCGTCATAGTAGTTCTCAGCTGTATCACTTTTGGCGCGATTCTGGAGATTTAATTCTGACATCGGAGACTGATAGAAGCGTCCGGTTTGAACAAAGGACTGCACTTTATTGGCATTTATTCGGTGTAGCTGGTAACTAATGTTAGGTCACCTGTGCAAGCAGGTAGAGGTCCCCGACAACATAGACTGTCGGTTTGAGAAAGAGGAATTGACTCAAAACTACCACACACGCTTACATAGAGGAGCAGGATGGCAAAAGAAACGCGAGGTAAGTTCATTCATCTTCTCGTGCGAATGCCTCCGCGACGCGGATAGCTTCTGTTGAAATGCATGTCATGGATGAGCCAGCACGCGCTCTGACACAGCTGGACATTTATGAGATCTCAGTGAATAACAGCCAACATTAAGTGTTCAGGCATTGTTACACATGTGATTTATTTGTAAATATGATTTAGGATATTTGTAATTAAAGCTCAATGTATTCAGGTTATTGACTGTTTATAATGAATGAATTAGTTTATGTGACTAATGGTTTCATCACATTATTATTAAGCTATTTTTTTCACATTATTTTAATACGTGCATGTTTCCGGTGTATCTGCTCACGCCCACTGTCTAGCTATCATTTAGAGACATAAGCTTCCAAATGAAGCTTCTCAAAAGTTTATGAGAATCCATTGAAATGTTCATTTATCATGGGTGTGATGTGGTTACGGCTCTGTCTCGAGTGAGGAGTGAAATATCATGTTTTTCCCTTTTTTTATCTGTCATGGTCCACACTGACACTGTCTTTGAGTATTTACAGCCTTAATATCATTTAGCCTACAGGATATCATAAATGGCTTTTAAAAAAAAGAATACGTATGCACTGTAAATAAATAATTTAATTGGAAAACTAAAACAGTGTAGAAATTGAGGTTTATGGAAATATGTTATGGAAATATTACGAATTACCTCATCACAGTGACAAATTATATTCAACAACAACAAAAAATGTAGTTTTACATAAACTTTAAAAAACAGTAAAAAAAACCCTGCATCACATTTGATAATATTTTTTTTAATTCTTTTCCCTTATTGCATTATTTTTGCATTATTTTTGTGTGCAAGATTATGTGCCCTTTTTTAGTGCACCATCTGTATTATTCTGGTAGTCATCAGTACATTTTAAGATACAAAGCTAATTTTAATAGTCTGATTCTATTAATATATATTTTTTGGTTATGTGTCTGTGTTTTTGTTTACACTCTCAGAAAAAAAAGTACAAAACGGTACCTTTAAGGAACAAAAGCTTGTCACTGGGGTGGTACCCTCAAAGGTACATTATTGTACCTTAATTCAGAGGAGCAAATTTGTACCTTACTTGTTTGTACCTTCTAAGGGCCAATACTGTACCTTTGAGGATCAATAATGTACCTTAGACAAAGGAACAATAAAGTACCTCTGGAAAAAGGTACAATTTTGTCCCATTAAGGTACCGCCCCAGTGACAAAGCCATTTTGTACCTTTAGGTGGCAAAAAAGTTCCTTTTTATTCCTTAAGGAGTGAAAGAAAATAAAGACAAACAACAACTAACTGAATTTTAGACATTTATTTTAGTCCTTAAATGGAAAACAGTTTAATTCACAGATTCAATAATAGTTCATCTCACAACCATACAATGTAACTTCCCAAAATAAAATGGCACAATGTTTAGGATTTCATGTCTGATTTAAAAAAAAATAAAAAATAAAAAAATTTTAAGAAGCATTTCATTGACATTTATTTTAGTCCTTAAATGGAAAACAGTTTAATTCACAGATTCAATAATAGATCATCTCACAACCATACAATGTAACATCCCAAAATAAAATGGCACAATGTTTAGGATTTCATGTCTGATTTTAAAATTAAAAAAAATTTAAATAAATTTTTTAAGAAGCATTTCATTGACCAACTGACAGCTTTATACTGCCACTCCAAAAACAAAATGAACAGCGATATCAGAGAATAGATGCATGGCAGGGAATAAATGCAATGGAACCATTTATCTTTTCCTTCTTTCAATTTCATAAACATCACTAATAAGAACAGCAGTATAGTGCAGAAAAACATAAGTTTATTATCAAAGACCAAGCAAAACACTTTAGCACCACACCAAAGTAAAGAGTCACTTAACGGATAAACTATATGACACTTGATGTGTTCTGGATTAAAAAACACAAGCTTTGAGCTCATCTACAACGCTCTACAACCCTCCCAACACAGCTTAACATAAATGCCGCATACTAACAAACAGTTTATCATCGACACAGTATGTATCCAAAGCATGAAAATCCATCACCTCAAAAGGGTCAAGGACAGTCCAGTCCTGTTCATACTTCACCAAGTAGGCGTAATAGTGATGACAGAAAGAAAGAGGAATTAATAGCTTTCCACATAACGCCCAATCTGTGTGTATGTTTAGAATGTATTTGACCTGAAAAAACAAAGGTATTTTTTCACCGTGCAAATGACCCACAACAAAGACATCTCCTACACAGTATTTAACACTGTTAATCACAACCTCTGTTACTCGGTTGAGTGTAATGTCCTGAAAATTGACATGTTTGTACCGCTCACTAACAGTTATGGAATGCCTAAGAGCTGAAGGAAGAGACTGTAACAGTGTGTTAACACTGCGTCCCATAACCCTCTCATACTCCCCAAACATATTAGTTGACGAAAATTCCCAACACTGTCTAAACTGATGGCGGCTGCTTAAAGTTGATGTAACATTGACAAAGTTCCTTGAGGAACTAGCTACCTGTTTGAAATACTGATGTTTCCCTTCAAATCTCATGCACCACAAAGACCGTAAAGGACCGTAGGACAACATTAGACGAGAATAATGGATCAAGTAATGACATTTTGGAGTTATCACATTTCCAAACTCTTTTTCCATGCCACACAAAAACTCAGAAACTAATTGGTCAAGAAGAAGAAGGGACTCTTTTTTTACAACAGGTGCCATTACAATGTCGGCAATTTCACGACACAATAAATAGATCCGCCAGTAACTGCAGCCTTCAGGTACCCTGTGTGCCATCAAGAAAGGAAGTAGGCGGAATAAACACCACTTCTGTGAAGCAGATCCAACAACACTGGATCCATGTAAAATATTTTCTGAGAAAGCCACAGGCTTATTTGTCTTATCATTTTGTCCAATGGACATCTTTCTTAGTTCATCATTTAGTTCTTGTATGGTTATATGTTTTTCTTGATGAGCTTTACATACAACAAGCCTCAATACCAACGGTGCTACACCCTCCAAGAAATCATGCATGACATCTGGAGGAAGAGATGTTGTGACGTCAAAGTAATCTAACTGGTCAAATACACATCCACCACGAACTCCATACATTCCTTTGTTTTCTGGATTTAGTTTTACACATTCTAAATGGTATCTGTGTACATCAACATTTCTTAAAACAAAATCAGATTCAATGAAGTTCTTTTTCATCTCAGAGTGAGTAGCCATGCAGTATCTACAGATTCGACCAGCACCAAAAGACATGGCAAATCCACCTATCATGTGAGATGACAGATTGTCTCCCAATATTGCAGCTACAGCTCCAAAAACATGCTTCTCCATGCCATTAACAATGATTTTAAGTCCCTCTGATGACAGTTTCTTAAGGTCATCAAGTAAAGGCTTCAAAATTACATCTAAACCAAACTTTTTTACGTGAACGTAACGGACAAGCAAAGCTAGATGGATATGTTTTAACTGTGAGCAGTACTTTGAACCTACGTTTCCAACAGTGTAGTAGAATGCACAAAGTTTGTGCTTGTTGCGTCTAGAACCCAGCGGATTGCACACCTCAAATTCATCCTCATATAGGTGTAACCTTAGAGCATCTGGATTATCTGCAAATACCTTGTGGTTCCTGAAATAAAATCCATCTCTATAATCAGTTAGAACATGTTCATCTCTTTCACAGTTTTGCTCTCTCTGAATAGAATCCCAAACATCTTCATGGGAGCAGTATTTCTGAAGTACATCACAAATGGGTACATATGAGTAGCTTCCAACTTTACGACCACTTGGGTCTCTCAGTGCGTAGTCTACAGGTTCAGTCATTTCAAGGTTGGATTTGCAGTAGTTTTTCAACATATGCGGAGACCTAACAAGTTTTGATGCCTCTGAAAAAAAGTCAGAACACTGCAGGACTTCATAAAGTTCAGGACAAGATTCCACATTGAAGCCATTTTTTTCAAGATGATATTTTAGAAATGCATCATAGTTTGCTTTAAAGAAGTCAAACAAAAAATTTACGTCATCCAGGATTTCTTGTTGAACAGTCTGAGGAAGGTGGTTTTTTTCCCTCGATTTCAGAATAAAGCCAAAAAGATTCTCTCTAAACTGCACTAACAGTTCATTCATCTCAGGAGGTTCAGGAGGATTGACAGCATCACTGGGCCCCTGCTCCTCCTCGCCCACTACTGTTTCCTGGATATCATGAGCAGTGGCTCGTCTGGCTATAATGTCTTTATGCTTCCTGTAAATATGTCGTCGGAAGGACTCATATTTAGAAAATGTTGATTGACAGTTGTTAAGGCCACACGTTATGGTAAAATGTGGCTCATGTGCATGAACAAGTCCGATGTGCTGGATTAACTTCACCAATGTGAAGGCTCTTCGAGAGCATTTAGGACAGCTGAATGGTGTAGGCATTGCGGTTGTTGATTAAGCTAAAATGTTGATTACCCTGGTCACACTAACAGGTAGAGGCTTATCACCAACCTCAGACATTTTTAGAACATATCGCTGAATAAAAATTAGGGTGTTCTTCAGGCGAGATGGATATATCACGTTGTAGATGAAGTAAGCACAAAAAGCAGCAATAACACCTTCCTCCAAACCAAGCGCCCTGCAGACTGACTGCCCATCCAGTTTGACCACTGCAGGGACCCTTTGAGTCAGCACACTCCTCCAGTCAGCGACAGCGTCGAGATGTACAGTAGGATATGGCGATGGTGGCTGATCCTGCAAGAGATCATAAAGTAGTTAAAATGCAGAAATCTACCACAAACATTCATAAAAAAATAAAATTAATAATAATATATATTTTTATATATATATATATATATATATATATATATACACACACTCATACATACCAATATACACACACACTAAAAAAACATCTACAGAAAGACCTTAAAGCGCCCATATTATGCTCCTTTTCAGATTCATAACTGTATTTTAAAGGTGACCTATAATTCAAAATTGAATTTACCTTGGCATAGTCAAATAACAAGAGTTCAGTGCATGGACATGATATAGAGTGAATCTCAAACTGGACTGTTTTCGCGTTCTCATTTAATTCACGTTTATGAAAAACACCCCTGAAAAACGGTCGGTTCTCCACACAATACCGACTGTGACGCAATAGTCGGGATCATTAATATGTACGCCTCCAAATATTTGCATATGCCAGCCCTCAATGCCAGGCGGAACTGCGCAGCCGAAGCATAGCAGTTGCTCAGTGTGGATGTACACATGAACACAAAAGTATTTTTTAGTTCCTTCATCTGAGCCTCTGAAGAAACAATGGGTTAATTTTATTTTCTCTGGAAATTTCCAAACATTTCACCCACTGTTTCCTCAACTTGGGCCAATACAGAGCTGGCCTCGGATCGAGCGAGCTACCAAGCAACACTTTCTGATGTGTAATTGTTCAAGTTCAGACAGGTAATCTTTCTCTCAAAATCGTTCAATACTGTTTATGCATCAGTAAGTCAAGCCAGTGACTAAAATACCAGCTTCACATTGTTTCTTTTATTAGGATGAAAATAATCGTATTTAAATTGTGAACAAATTATATACAGAAAGCGATCAAAGAACAATCTTTCCACACAGCGCGAGTTTATCTGGACATTTGCCAAACTCGTTATGAAATCAATGACGCACGTTACTGCACAACGAAGCTCTTACTGTATTTACATCATCGTGTTTGCATTGGTGAAAGCATTAGAGAGAGTGCAGAAACTGCTTTGCAATGATAAGATCTTCATTCTCGCGATCAACACACTGTCATCTGCTCAATGCTCATCACGGCAACATTTTATGTGATGGGAATAGATCTAAATACTTTAAAAACATCTCACGATTCGTTAATCTCGATAGCTGTTATAGTAAAAACGTATAATAGCAGTAGTAAAAGTTTTCGGGAGAGAGTTTCACATGTAATGCGTACTAGCTATTTCATATGCAAGCATGTCAGCCAATCACAGCAGTGGCCGCGGTTACACTGAATCCCACAGCAGCCAATCACAGCAGTGGCCGCGGTTACACTGAATCCCACAGCAGCCAATCACAGCAGTGGCCGCGGTTACACTGAATCCCACAGCAGACACGCCCCTTCAAACAGAGTGTTCAAATCAGAGGCTAAAAGCAGGCTAGGAAAAATGCCATTTATTTCTAAATTATGATTATTTTTGATCTAAAAAACATACTAACATTATAAGGGTAACCCAGGAAACATTATAAAATAATAAAAAAAAAACATTCTAGGGCACCTTTAAGGTTGTACCAGAATAGGTTTACATGGTTTAATTAAAAAAAAAAATCCTCTTTTCACCTGGTTTCTGTTTTAGCTACAGAGTGAGACCTCTTTTCTTCTTCTGTACTATCTTTGATTGCCCTCGCACATGGTCAGTAGCTCAGATGTAGATCATGTCAGCTAGCTAGGTCCATAGAAGTAAAAGAAAGCCTGTTTCGGTCAGAAAGTTGTAACTTCGGTCAGTTACAAGGTAGGATTAGCTGGGAGACTTCTAAATGAGGGCGCACATGCAAATAGTTCTTTTGTAGATTATGGTGAACTTGTGTGTGTTGTAGCAGTGCTTTGCTATTGAGAACGAGGTAGCATGCTAACGCTACGAGCTAACGGTTGCGGTTAGCCAGCTCGTTTCGGATTGTGACGTCACAATCCGGGCCGATTTTGAACAGCTCTCCAGGAGACTGAAGGCAGGACACATTCAGAAACCGTATCTCACTCTGAACAGAATGGATGGATTTTTTTCAAAGTTTGTATGTGTGTGGAAGCACCAGACACACAAAATAACACCCCCAAATCCCAGAAAAAGTGATTTTTTCATAATATGGGCACTTTAACCGTCATTTATATGGCCTATCAAAAGACTAACATTTTTTGGGGGGACCAGTGACATCAGTAGGATACCTCGCGATTAGATTCTAAACCATTTATCTATGCAACAATTTTTTTTACGTACATTTCCATGCATGATATGAAACATTTTCATATAAATCTGAGTTTGCTAATCACTTCCTAGACAAAGCTTAGATGCTTGTGAAAGTTACCTTCTCCCACAGTAATCTTCCATGTCAGAGGCTCAGTCATGTGTTTTTTCTGCACTCTTGCCTAAAGTCTATGCTGTTGTCCTCTTTCACTCACTTTTAAATTAAAATCAACACATAAAAAAAAAAGATTTTTACAAGACATTTTTAGCCATATTTAGCTTTGCGGCCCCCCATGTCCACACCAAGGCCCAGCATTGATAGCTAGAAACTTTGTATTATGAAATAAGACATCCAAGGGATGCATATAATTCTCTGTGGTAAGTAATGTAAACAAAAATAAATAAGTATATGCAAATTACACACCTCCCCAAGTATGACGAGAATGTCATTTTTCTCCCTGAACAGGATCGGCAACAGCAGGATTGCAGCTCTGAAATCAATCCCTGAAAATTAAGTTTAAAAAAAAGAAAGAAAAAAGGAAGTGTATTACGTGAATGTACAGTGTATTTTGGTTAGTTAGACCTTATCTTGTCTGAAGACAAATAGAAAAGAAATAAAGCTTAAATGGCTCCACAACACTAGGGGTGACCATGGCTGATCAGTGAGTCACTTACCAGGGACATCTTCGGTGAGGGCAGCCTCTCTTTCCTCCAAAGCCAAATCTGCAAGGGGAGATTTCCTTTGAGTCAATTTAAGCACTTTGGGTACTAGGACCTTAAAGCCATCTTCAAATCTTCGGCAGATATTCATTTCATCATGAAGCCGGCCCATTTCCTGAAATAGCTGCAACACAGCACAAACAAACGGGAAACATGTCACAACATTATCTTAGGATTTTAAAATTAAATTTCAAAGAGAGCCTTTAATAATTTAATATGAACTCCAACACAAATGTAAGGAAATAAATGTAGACAAACCCCGCATGGACTCTTAAGGAATGGATATTTGTTAATGGCTTCTTCGACAGTCATCCCATTGGCAATCTCTCGCCTTCTCCAAGCAAATGTCCTCATCATCCGTTCCTCCACCATTTGGGCATCTGGCTTTGTCTTCCGGTACTGGTCCTGCAGGACTTTCACATGCCTCGCTACTGAGGTATCATCCTCCCCAATAATATCCACCTCCTACGACACAGAGGGATGACAAACATTTGCTCATTTGACAGTTGCTTTTCCCCTTTTTAATGTTTATGAAAAATGAGCCCTTAATAATAATTTATTACATTTTATATAGCGCTTCATCATAGCTACTTAAAGCACTTTACAGGGGAGACTGTTCTCTACCATGCTGGGTTAAGAGGCTAACCATTGGGCCACACTGCATTTGTGTAAAACATGCACACATAGATATACAGCAAACCAAAGAAGATGCAGACCTTTGATGGCTTGGCTCGTTTGCTTGTGTTTTCTTCCTGTTGTAAAGGCTTTTTGTGGTGACCAAATTTCTGTTTCATTCTTCTCACCTCTTCATCATCTACCAGTGGCACCCGCTCATATTTGAACTTACGTTTGAGAGACATGTGCCAGGTATGCTATTTAAAAGAATATAAAATAGAACAATTAAATAAGCATACAAACCACTTGCAGAAAACTGAAAGCACAAGCATGAAAATACATGGTGGAAAACAATGTGTGCATCAAAATGCAGAGAACATAGTTAATATCTTGACTGGATTAGTACTCTATATAATAAATAAAGGTTGGCAATTAATAATCTGTCAACTCACATAACCATTGCCTTCTTTGTCCTTTAAGAAAGGGTATTTCAAAATCAGGGCCTTACACACTTTAACATAGTCATCATTGGTCGGAAACCTGTAACAGCGATGCAAAAGAAGGTGAGGAATGTAACATCAGACATAGTATTAATAACTAAAATGCTGTGATCCAGTTGGGTTGCAAAACTTACATTTTGATCAGGGCCATGGTTTCAAACAATGTTCTTATGATTTTGTTGTGATGGGATCTCTCAATTTTGCATGCCGGTTTTTGGTCCAACTTTGTCTGAACATCTCTGGGAAATTTAGGAATGATGAAAACTGCTGGGAAGGCTGATGATGGGATGGCATGACTATGATGAAATAAAACAATAGTCTTAAAATGTTGGGAAATTAACCACACTGTAACAATACAAGTTAAAGTCCTGCAGAGTAAATGTTACTTCAGTAAAAGTGTGCAAGTATCAACAGGAAAATGTACTTAAAGTATTAAACCATTGTAGAAAGAGTAAAAGATCCAACCAGTTGTGTTTAATGATCTCATCATCTCAGCTGGACTTGTAGCCGTTATATTGTTGGCTAGTTTACTTTAGAATCAAACATCAGATTTGATAAACTACATGTAACTAGTAACTAAAGCTGTAACAGATGAATGTAGCGGAGTAACTAAAGTAACTAGTAACATAACATTACTGTTATCGGTACCTTGATTCCGCTGTAGCCTTCTCTGAATGTACCGGGACAGGCTCGAGGGTTAGTGTCACGGTTTCTTTCCACTGCTGAACAAATCTGTTGAATTTGGCTTGCTTCTTAAAGGATCCTTCAAAGAGGTATGAAACCATCCTCTCAGTCAATCCATAGTCCACTGCTTCTCCGTCAACTTCATTATCTAGACAATAGAGAAAAGAAAAACAGCAATGTTAACCACCACTGTGGTAACAGCATACAACAATTTTAAAAGGCACAATTATGTCAGACTGTAACGTTAATGTAACTCAATACGCCTTATTCAGGGCAGCGCCATCTTTGATTTTTAATGAGAAAGAAAGCGAGGCTGTGAGGGATAGACATGCATCTCTTCAATGGGCTGTACTGTTATTTAATGTGTTTTCGTTTTGTTCTGCTCATGAAACACTGGAAAAAATATATTTCTAAGAAATTTCAGTTGACAAAAAACTCCCGACAATATGTAATCTAGGAGCTTTATTCAGCTTTTTACAGCGGATGCCATTGGAAACACGGTAAGTCTAACGTTTTTCCTCACAGCCTCACTTTCATACCTGTCAAGGCGCTGCTCTGAATAAGGTCTATGGGGAAAAAAACAGTTTTGCTCCAGTTTAGTTTATTGGGTATTTTTCTCATATCCAGAGGTAACTTATGGGCTTGCCTGGTCCGGACTTTGAGACGCCCTAATATAACTTACATATAAAAACACATTGAAAGTATTTAGGCGTAGCTACCTCATTAGAGACGGTGGAAATGCGTCTCTCTCACTCACTCTCTCTCTCACACAGCCCTGAATATTTATGTTACGTTAGGCCTATCTAATTTTTTTTCCAGGACAGCGGGGAAAGTATTGAAAGAAGTTAAAACCATTAGCTAATGATAGTAATCGGTTTATTTTTATAACAGCAGCTAACGTTATCTAATCGTATCTACCTAGTAATGTTAACGTTACTCGAAAGGGAGGTTTTAACCGTTGGTCGGTTCTGTCAGTTAACGTTACGTTAACCTGATGTTGTAATTTAACGTTAGTCTTACATGGTTTTACGAAGATGTTCTAAGACAGTTTGATGACGAAATAAAGACCAAATCATAATTCCACTGGCTATCGATAGTAACATTCCGCCCAAATGGCTTTGCTTTAGCATTAAAATATTTCAGAACAAAAGACTGTTGGGCGGCAAAACCTTTTTTTTTCACCGTTCTCCTCTGACGCAGTCCAGCTAAGTTAGCTAACGTAAGTCAGAACAAAAGACTTTACGGCGGCAAAAGCGGGGTTTTTTTTTCATCATTCTCTGAGGCAGTCCAGCTACTGCTAGCTAAGTCAGAACAAAAGACTTTTCGGCGGCAAAAGAGTTTTATTTTTATTTTATTTTTTTCGTTCTCCTCTGACGCAGTCCAGCTAACTTAGCTAACGTAAGTCAGAACCATAGACAGTAAAAGAAAATACTTTTCGGCGGCAAAAACGCTTCTCATCCTCCTCTGACGCAGTAGTTTTATACGTTAGTTAGCTAACGTTAACAGTTAATGTTAGCTCGATTGTGAACGGATAGTAAGTTAACGTTACTTATAATAATAGTATGTGGAATGGCAATATAGTAAGTTACTGCTAATGTTTTAACTAACTAGTTAACGTTAATAATCATGGCAATCGTCAATGTCGAATCTAGCTAGCGAAGTTAATGTTGACAGAGTATGAACTTGACATTAACAGTAAAAGTTAACTTCCAACTTTGAATTTACACCACAAACACTGATTAAAAATTCAAATACTTTACCTTTGAATTTACTTCTCTCCTCTTCAGTGACCTCTATCCCAAAACGAAATAACTCCGTGATTAAATCCTCCGTGGATAAATGTCGAAGCGCCATCCTCCCGACTTTGCTCGACACTGACAGACACTGACAGTTGGATCACTGTCGATTCACTCATGTATCCTTCCGCGCTGCAAAATTTATGCTTCCGCCGAGTCGAGTTAGCCTGTAGCTAGATCCTTTCAATAGATATCAATTATATTGTCTGTTTCATTCTAATATAAATAGGGTAAAGAGTTTGAAAATCTAATTCTTCAAAACGGTTTGTGAATATAAATGATTACACAATCCTCATTAACACGATTAAAAATTATTCAAAGGGACACTTCACACAAAAAAAACATTCTGATTTATTTAGCCCATATCTCAAAACTTTACAGTTAATTTAGTTTGACTATTATTGAGTTATTGAGTTTGATAGTATAGGTTTACTTGTGTTTCTATATTGAGAGATGACATTATCAGCATGCACTAATTCCTGCCATTTTACATTTAAACATTAAGGTACAAATATGTAAGGGACAAATATGTACCTTACACCTCGGAAAGCACACAATATACAAATGGAAGGTGCAAAATTGTACCTTAAAGGTGCACAATTGTACCTTAAAGATACATTTTTGTACTTTTAAGGGTACATATGCAAAGTTTGTACCTTAGGGAACAAAAATGGACCTGTATTGTACCTCTTTTTCTAACAGTGTACTGTAACATTAATATAATCTTTTTACAATGTGCAAATACTTATTTGTGGACATTTTCACATTCTTCCACAAAAAAAGTTTCCCAATTGTGAGGCATGTGTGTGTTTTTAAAGATCATGTGTCACATAGACAATGCTTTTTCATGCTGTTTTTCATTTGATACTTTTACCGATTCTATGACCTAAATACAACGCTGTTCATATGGTTACCATGAAAATGCGTTCTTTAAATTCTACCACAGTAGATGTTATTGAACCCAAATATGTGTGGCCATAATTTCACAAAGAAAAGTGTGTGGCCCCAAACGCTATATTTTATAATCCATCTAATACACAAATTACAGGAAATGAGGAAATCTCAATGTATTTAGGGACAATTATTGCTAATGACATTCTGAGGTCATAATGTTGCTTGATTTGATTGACAGCAGAGTGCAAAGCAAAGGAAATTTCAAACCAGTTTTCCTCAGCTAATGCGATACTTTGTCTCAAGATGTATGTTTCAAGTACATCAAACAGCCCTCGCTGTCTCATCTGATGTGTTTCAATAGCCTCAATTAACCTGTGTCTCTTTCTTATTGAGCCTCACTCAGTACATGTCTGATCAGACATACAGTAATTACAAACACAAAGGCACTGTTGTGCCCTGTGAGTGATGCTCTTGTTTCTCTGGTTATGGTTGCACTGGCTCAGCCACAGACACTGGATTGGACAGCTGTGCAGTCTGATGTTTTTGTTCTATTTTGTGAGAGAAGCATTGACAGGAATCCTTGTGATACTGTAAAACAAACGCAATCTGAATATGGATAATCATTATCATGTGGTTAATTAATAGGAGGTTATTGCCCTTTTCCAGAATGGGTGTCGCCTTTCTGAAAGTAAAACAGTTTATTTTCATGCAAAGTTTACATCTATTCTTGATGTTCAGGTGTTAAAGCAACTTGTCCGTCTTTTTTCCTTACTCTCTCTTCACTATCCACACATTTAAACCACATCACATAAGATTACAGAGAAATGGTTTATGTATATTTTAGTTGTAATTGTTGGTAAAATTGCATGTAATTGCTTTAAACGACTGTGATATGGAAAGATAAATGGAGAAAGAGTCAATGGGGGAAATCTGGCATTACAGCGACACTGTAACCTCAGCTCTTGGGATTCTGTCAAAGCCTCAGCAAACTTCGGATATTATCCAGGACTCTAGAAAACCATATGAGAATGGTGTTTTGTAAGCTAAACAAGCCAAACAAAGGCCGTTCTTTTTTTTGTGATTATTAGAACCAAACATATTTTCTATTCTACATGGGGTCCAGATTTAAAGCCCTTGATTCTGTTTTGTATTTGATTTATGAAAATGCACCAATATTAAAATTCTAGGTCATATATACCAAAAATGATTTTATGTTATGGCTGACAACCAATAAATGTCCAATATTACAATTCTATGCTATTTTCTCTTAATATATTAAAAAATAAGTCATACAAACCTAAATAAATATATAAAATGACTAATTTTAAGTGCTTCAAGGGAATTTAGGCATCACAACATTATAATGTACGGTATTAAAAATGGATAATAGTTTGAGATTTGCTTATTAAATTTTTACTAGGCCTATTTAAAGAATAGCCTTGTGTTAGATGACGGTAATTGTAACCTAACGGAAAAATAGGGGAAATAAGCATGCACAATTTAAAAAATCTCTTCTGACATCTAATATGGTTCTGATACAGTATAGGCTATAAAAAAAATACATTGTATTTCCTCACTTTTTTTATATAAAATATTAACAATATAATGATATTTACTATGAATGTGCAACCAAAATACCGCCAAAATACCATTGTTGTTGCTACAGTAAAATTATGGCATAGTAACATGTGGACACTTTTTCCATTTTTTTTTGCTAGTCCTTAAGTATGTTTTTCCACACCAGTGAATGTCAAGTTTATATGTTTATATGAAATCAACCACCTTAAGCACAGAGTCATTTGGGGTTCCAATGTAAGCTCACAACACATTTCACACAGCCCTGTTCAAATTGGACTGGGTCATGCGGTCGAAAGCGCCCTGCCCTGCGCTGTCCAGAGGGTTCTGCAAGTAAATTAGTCATGCTGTTTTATCCGCCTCTGGAGTCTATGGCTTTTGTCGTTTTCCATGTGCAAAAGAAAATGGCAGCACATCATGTAAAATTTAAATTTGTCAATTTCACAGTTGCACAGACTGGGAAAATGGTTGTACAAATGTAATTAAAGTCTGGTGAGGTTTGTGTCCAGACCAATGAGGTTCATTCTCATGTGTTACGCATGTAGCGATTCTTAGCTCAAATAAAGGGAATATAATTTTAATAACTGGTCATGAATATGTCCAGACATAGATTAAAATTACCCGTAAAGGGAAAAAGTTGCCAACGGTCCGTATGGACAACTTTTTACAACAAATTATAGTCAGTTATCCATACAGGTAGGCAAAATTAGATCAATTGTATATATCAATAATCAATCACAACGAATTGTAATTAAATATTAACATGTCAATTGTTGAGGATAGATCGATTCCAAGGATCACCTTTCATGGGGTCAATTTATTATCGAATAATCTGCTTTGTCCAGCTAAACTGATCGTCCGATCTTCATCAAACCTCATGAAAGTTATTATAGACGTTGAAGAGAAGTTATTCTCTGGCCATGAAAATGGACTTTCCTGTTCTATAAAAATACTATTTAAGTATCGACAAATTTGTAAAGCT